TCTCCACTGCGTCGGTAACGCTCCTGATCTTCTTCTTCTCGTACCACATCTCGTCCCCGTCGCTGTCCGTCTCGTGCCAGACGTCGCCGCGGTCCTTGGCAGCCTGCAACTTGGCCTCGTTAAAGTGGAACTTCGCCTCAAGCGCACTGTGGGTCATCCCAGTCTCACTGCGGCCATGCGTGACGGTCTTGGTCACGTTGAGGAAGTCGGTGGCTTTGACGTCCTTCAGGTTGCTGGTGCTCAGCTCGTAGGTCGCGGCCTTGTGCACCACGCTGTTGCGCAAGGCGTTCTTCAGCTGCTGGATGCCCTTCACGCCCTTCTTCGACGATAGCTCCTCTCGGTAAGGAATTGAAAGCATACCCCCCAGGAGGGAATACCAGAATCCACCCAGAGGGAATGCCCAGAACACCAGAGCACGGGGTGATTGTGTAAAAAAATGTTAACAAGACTTGGTGGTCTCACCACCCCAAAGAAGTCAGTTCATGATGGTTGGTCTGAGCGAGGTGAAGCCGTTTTCAAAAGAAAGTCCTCCCACTTGTCGCGGACCTCCTTGGACAGGGTCGGCAACATGCCCTCGAAGACGTAGCACTGCTGGCGCGTGTTGGGCGAGACGTCCAGCTCCGTAGCCGCATCGCCCACGTGCCCGTCCGCGATGGCTGGAGTGGCCGACTTCGACGATCTCTGAGCCTTCGCAGTCCACCCCCTGGGCTTCTCGGGCTTCTTGGGGTCGGCTGCAGCAGGGCGCTCGGCTGCAGCAGGGCGCTTTTTGCCGACGGTCTTCGGCGCAGCGCCCTTCACCATAGCTCCACAAAGCTCTGAAGCGGCGGATGTACTCACTAACAGCCCTTGCTTGGCTATATATGTTGATCCGAAATGGCATTACGGAAGACCAGGGTGAAGGGGGCCCGAAATCTGGCATACGGCATAAGCTCGGCCACAAGAAACCGTCCACAAGAAACACAATATTGAAACACAAGGATGCCCGCTGTTTCTGTTCTCGTATGCGAGCGTAGCTTTTTCCATGGTGCAACCAATCGAAATGCAGGAAACCTAGGACACCCTGGGAGGAAGCAGCTGGTGTCTCTTGGCATGTAACCCCCCGCTGTGAAGGGCTGCGCTGCGCCAGAAGTTGCGCCATCTAGAACGACCTGGGGCGTCAGCTTAGGGCTCCCAAGGGCACGATTTTCGTCAAAACTTATACTTTTCCTTTAGGTTTGAGACCCTACGTTTTTCTGTAAAAATCTGGTAGTCTCAAAACCAACGAAAAACATGCGTTTGTGGGAACGAGTGTTGTCATAACTTGTTTGGCCCCTTGGGGCCCTCCTGGGGCCCTCTTCGGCTGTCCGGACGCGCAGGCTATGCACATGTTTGTGTTTGCGTTGTTTGTTTGTTTGGTGATCGGTGGAAGAGGACACGGAGGAAGAAACGAAGCATGGAGGATACCGAGGGCGGGAGGGTGTGCGTCCCAACAGTTTGGCAGAAATGTCGTAAGATGTCGAAGCGCAGTGTCCCCATGCCCACTCTTGAAATCTAGCACCATCCCACAGGGTGCCCGAAAGTGGTCAAAGCCTGTAAAAGCACAAAGCTGGAATACAATGCAACAGCGAACGCGGCAGCAACGCACCAGGCATCGCTACAAGAAACGGGGGCTCACAGAAACGTTTTATCACCCTCACGCCAGCAACTCTTGCATCTTCTGAATGGCATCAGAACGACGAAACGTACCACCCTCGACATTGTCGTAGAACGCTTTGATCTTCTTTGCAGCAGAAGCAAATTTCCTACCATCTCGGTTCCTGCTCACTGTGACAACGTGGACACGCTTGCCAGTCGAAACATTTTTCGCTACGAACTCGCACCTCGGGTTCGCCTCGTTCGTGGGGCCCGACAACTTGAGATCCTGCAGCAGTGGGTCCTCGGAAGCGGTCTTGGGCTTGCGCTGGGGGGGGGGGTCCGCGGCCATGGGCGTGCCCTTGTTCTTGCCACCTTTGTCCTTGGCCGCGTCAGCAGCCACCTTGGGAATGTGCCCCGAAGCCGCAATTACGTGCTCGCTCCTCGTAGCACTGTTTATGTTGCACATATGTGTGTGCATGAGTGTGCATGTGCTTGTGTATATACTTGCGTGTGTGCGTGTGTGAATGTGAATGTGCACGCGTCTGTGATTGCGCGTGTTTGTGTGTATGTATATAGTTATGTACACGCGTATGTTTATGTGTATGTGTGTAATGAACGTGTATGTTTACGTGTGCGTGTGTGTGTATGTGTATGGTATGTGTATGTGCGATATACGTTTTTTGTTGGTGTACGTGCATGTATGTGACATACGCGTTTGTATGTGATATACGTGCTGTGCATGTGCATGTGTATGTGTATGTGTATACGTGTGATGTCTGTGAATTTTGTATTTGGACGGGTATACGTTTGGGTGACGGGCACACCTTGTCATCGCCACCATAGCGGCTGGTCAATACGTTGTCCTTGCCGGTCTTAGCGTCGAGAATCGGCGTGAGCTTCGAGACATCTGCCGCCGCGCCGACCGTCACGTCGGTTGCTTGGCGGCATTGAGGCCAGCAACAATTAAGCACGAATTCGGGCTGGGTGGTTGGGCATTTTTGGTTTGGGTTCGAACCCCCCGCCACCCTCGAGGGCGGCGGGGAGTCGAGCCCAAACCACAAATGGGGAACAGAGGGTGTGACATGATCATGTCACACTCTCTGTTCCCCAAGGTCCCAAACCCGAACTTCAGCTTGATATCAAAATCCTCGTCCGTCCTCATCCTCATCCTCCTCCTGCTCCTCCTCGTCCTCCTCCTCCGCCTCCTCGTTCTCGTCCTCCTCCTCCTCCGCCTCCTTTTTGCTAACCGCATTGCCTTGTGGGGCGTCTCCATCGCGGGGGGCGTCTCCGCCACGGGGCTCGCCTCGGCGTTCGCCAAGGGGATCGCCAAGGGGATCGTCACGTGGAGGCTGGCGTAGTACAAGTTGTCACGCGAGTCCGCACGCATGTTCTCAAGGTACTTCTTGAAGCACAGAGGGAGACCAGATGACGACTCGCCACGCAAGGATTGATGGATCCTGGCGGTGGCCTCCGTTCCTGGGGGCGGTTCGGGGGACGATGCACGATTCCTTGCCGGCTCGACAGACGTTGCGCGGCTGGCATTCTCCTCCGAGGACCAGTCAAGCTTCGGCACCAAAGTGTTGATCAAAACCTGCTGGGCCGAGCTGGCCTTTCTTTTCAAGCCAGCTGTCTTAGTTATCTTCTTGGTAGACACTCCCATCGTCTCCCTTTTCCAGTTCCGCAACTGAGTCAAGAGGTTAGACACGTGCGTGCGTATCTGGATGATCTTGAGCTCGGCGCTCTGACCCTCAGCCTTCATGACACTACGGTTCTCGAGGATGGCATCCCGAAGACCTTGTTCGAAACGTGACGGGTAGATAACACCATTTTTCAATCCAATGTTTAAGAGCTCCTCAACTAGAGGGGAGCCCCTTGCGAGATCATCGGGACTAATCTGATAGGGCGCGGCCTTGAGGGAACCCAGCATCTCGTCCAACGGAAGCTTCGCACGACTGTGGGCATTTAGGAACGCGGTGGTGTAGTCCTTAGTCGTGACTGCCTCATTGGCAACCATACGGGGCGCCGCCATGATGTTGCACTGTCTGCTGAGAAGAACGTCGGGGGTCAGTAGGTCGGTTGCCAGCCCGTTCCTCGAAACGCGAACCTTGGAGCCAAAACGGCTCACGATGACGATGGCGGTGATAACGATCCTTCCCTCCTTCCTCCCCCTCCTCCTTCCCTCCACCTCTTCCCTCACTTTCCTTCCCCCTGCTCCCTTCTGCTCGAACGCCGCTTCCAGGGAGAAGAAGGATATGAACCGACAGGAGAGGAGGAGGAAGGGGAGGAGAGGCGAGGGGAGAAGGGAGAGAGGCAAGCTAGGTGCGCTCGCGCTACATCTGGCATCCAACCCTGCCCTCCCATCCATTGCGGGGGAGCATCCAGGCTTCTCAGAAATGTAGGGTGCGAGGATCGACTGCAAAACAACAAACAAAACAACTATCTGGTTGAATCAATTGTTGAAATGAAAGTTATAGGGTTGCAGCTAAGGTTGAAACTAAGGTTGAATCTAGGGTTGAAACTAAGGTTGAAACTAAGGTTGAAATTAAGGTTGAAGGGTTGAAACTAAGGTTGAAACTAAGGTTGAAACTAAGGTTGAAATTAAGGTTGAAACTCAGGTTGAAACTAAGGTTGAAGGGTTGAAACTAAGGTTGAAACTAAGGTTGAAGGGTTGAAACGAAGGTTGAAGGGTTGCCAAACCGAGGCCAACCCGTCAACCCTCCAACCCTTCATTTCTGAGGTTCCCGGATGCTCTGGGTTTTTAGGACCCGCCGGTCCCTTCAAGACGCCTCCTGCCTTCCTAGAAGGCCGCCCTCTTCGCTTCCCTTCCCCTCTGCTCAGCGCCGCAAATACGGATGAACGGAATGGCCACCCCATGGCGTGTGTCGATAGTTTTGGCGACGAGCTGTGAACATTGCGAGACCCATGGCCCAGTGAAAATCATCATGGAGGTTAAGATATGAATCTCGCTACTTTCCCCCCCTTCCCGTCGCATTCCCCGGCCATATTTCTCGCCTTCATCCCTCCTCTCGGGCCGAACGAAAGGGGGGGATTGGGAAAGGGGGGGGGTACGAAATCTGCTGCATGCAGCTGGTTTCGGCCCCACTGAGGGGCCCATTCCTCGATACATAGCCGCCTCCGGCGCCGGGAGGCGCCGGGAAAATCAGCTACGTAAGCTGATTATCAAACCTACCCTTTGCTATCCCCCCTTTCGCCCGGCCCGATCCTCCTCGCCCGCCTCCTCCCCCCGCGTCCCCTGTCCGCTCGCCTCACCTCCCCTCCCGCCCGTCCCTGCTCCTCTTCTCGGTTTGTTCTGTTCCCCACGGCCTGACGCGCTCTTTGCTCCTCCCCGCCGCCCTTCCCCTTGGGCCCTCCCGCACGGCGTCCGCAGGAGGACGAGTCCGAGGCGCCGGCGGAGCCGCCGAGTCCCGCGGAGCCCGCGCTGCACAGCGGCATCCTGCGCCTCGAGGAGCCGTTCTTCTTCGGGACCGCCACCGCGGCGTACCAGATCGAGGGCGCAGCGGCCGAGGGCGGCCGGAAGCCCTCCATCTGGGACGACTTCTCGCACCTCCCGCGCAAGACGGACGGAGGCGCTACGGGCGACATCGCCTGCGACCATTACCACCGATTCCGCGAGGACGTGGAGATGATGGCCATCAGAGAAGGAAAAGGTGCCCATACCTCTACCCTTCCCTCGCTTTCCCCCTTCCTGGGCCTCCTGGGAGACCCTCGTCGCCACCGCTGGATTCGCCTCGAAATCCTTGTCAGAACGCACCCTGGGAGAGGTCCGAGGAGTAGCGGTATCGGACCACCACCAGAAGTTGGAGGGGGAAGCAGGTGGAGGACGAGGAGCAGGAGGACGACGAAGAGGATGAGGAGCAGGAGGAGGACGAGGAGCAGGAGGAGGAGGACCCGGAGGACGAGGATGAGGAGCAGGAGGAGCAGGAGGAGGAGGACGAGGAGCAGGAGGAGGAGGAGGAGGACGAGGAGCAGGAGGAGGACGAGGAGCAGGAGGAGGAGGAGGACGAGGAGCAGGAGGAGGACGAGGACGAGGACGAGGAGCAGGAGGAGGAGGACGAGGAGCAGGAGGAGGAGGAGGACGAGGAGCAGGAGGAGGAGGACGAGGAGCAGGAGCAGGAGGAGGACGAGGAGCAGGAGGAGGAGGACGAGGAGCAGGGGAGGAGGAGGAGGAGGAGGACGAGGAGCAGGAGGAGGAGGAGGAGGAGGACGAGGATGAGGAGCAGGAGGAGCAGGAGGATGAGGAGCAGGAGGAGGACGACGAAGAGGATGAGGAGCAGGATGAGGAGCAGGAGGAGGAGCAGGAGGAGGAGGAGGAGGAGGAGGAGGAGGAGGAGGAGGACCCCCTCCAGGCCAGCCTCGGCGTGCACGCCTACCGCTTCTCGATCTCCTGGAGCCGGCTGATCCCGGACGGCGAGGGCGAGGTCAACGAGGAGGGAGCGCGGTGCGCCGCTTGCTGCGGTGCCGTCCTCCTCCTCCTCCTCCTCCTCCTCCTCCTCCTCCTCCTCCTCCTCCAGGCTGCCATTTGGGCTCCCACGCGCGCGGGGGCGCGCGGCGGGGGCGCATCCATCTGGCCCCAGCCTGCAGCCCGACGGCGGGCGCAGGCGCAGCTGTGGCGGCGAGCGGCCTTCGCGGGCGTGCTCCGTCGCCAGCCTGGCATCGCCGCCTGCGCAGGCGCCGCGCCAGCGCGCGGCAGACGCTGCGCGAGGCCGCGGCCAGGCGGCTCCTCCAGGCGCACCACGGCAGCGCCCCGCCTGAGGAGACGCAGCACATGCAGAAACATGGGGAGGGCTGGCCGTGCAAAGCGACCAAGGCCTGCGGCTTCCGCAACAATTTCTCCAGCAGGACAACGTGCTGGGCGTGTGGCAGGGACAGGGACGGCAGACCTACGACCGCCCCCCAGCGAGCGCCCAGCCGCAGCAGGAGGCCTCCTTCGCGCGGCGCCGAGGCGCCCTGGCCCGATCGTGCTGATCCTGCTCCTGCTGCTCCTCAGGCTGCTGGCGACGCAGCGGCACAGCAGTCCCCAGCAGTCAAGTCCAAGCGTGCGTGGCTGGCCTTACGTCGGATCTACGGTGACGAGCACGACCTGGTCATCGCCGCCAAGGCCGCCCACAACAAGGAGGAGTCCGCCCTACGTGCTCAGATGGACCCCTCCGACCTGCTCAAGAGCGCCAAAGACAGGTGGGCTGCCAAGGAGTCTGAGCGCGCGGCCAAGGCCGCTCAGGTCGAGCAGATGTCCAAGGAGCTCGCCGACGCCCAGCAGCAGCTCACCAGGCTCGAGGCCGAGACGGCCAGCCTCAGTGCGGAGGTCGCCCACGCCCAGTCTGCAGTGGCGGCCGTGGCCGCTGACGGGACCCCCGCGATGGCTAACGTCTCTGTGGCCATCCAGCAGCTTCAGGCTGTCTTGGTCTCGGCGCGCGCAGGCACGTCGAACATGGACGGCGCCCAGCTCCTCAGCACCATCGAGCAGCAGGTCTCCAACATCGGCTCCCTGGCGACAGGAGCTTCGCCACCGAGGGCATCAGCTCCGCCGCCTCTGCAGTCAGCCGCCTTTCGCCCCCCAGCTCCAGCCCCACCAGCAGGACCTGGCACCCAGATGGCCGTCGAAGCTGCAGCATGGGAGAACGCGGGCGACGACAGCTAGGAGGGCCCCACGAGGCTCCAAGCGCAAGGATATTGCAGTTGCTACCTTCAACGGTTCTTGTTGGAATACTTGCAGGACCTTTTTGGCAGAAGGTACGACAGGGGTCAATATTGTGTGCGCTCAGGAGTTGAGACTCGATGGGGAGCGTCTGGCGCAGGCGCAGTCTTGGGCTCGACGAAACGGCTGGCAGGCCTTCGTCACGCCCTGCCGCAGATTACCTACAGGCTTGCCCAGTGCAGGCGCAGGGGTCTTTGTGCGCTCTCACTTACCAGCCACCGTCGTCGAGGGACCCGATGGCAAAGTAACCCATGACATAACACCAGCCTGGGCAGTGGTCATACACGTTGATGTGGGACTCACTGGAGGGTTGCTGGTGGGATCTGTCTACATGGAGTATGCGCACACGACCGCTTACCTCACAGCCAACTACGATCGCTACTTAAACTTGGCTCAGTTTCTCAGATACATGAACAAGCCCTTCATCATCGCGGGGGACTGGAACATCAACCCCCAGGACTACCAGCAGATGGGCTTGCCTGAAATACTTCCTGCCGCTCTTCTCTACACCAAGGAGGAGGGCACTTGCCGCACCCCGAAGGGCGACTACCACAACATCGACTACTTCATCACGCCCCCTGGCCTCGAGACGGCATGCAGATCGCCAACCACGATGGCGACGTGGCCAGCACGACCTCACAAGCCAGTCATCACCTACATCAAGGCCAAGCCGAAGGCCATGCAGATTCTCAGCGTCAGAGCCCCGAGGGCTCTGCCCAAAGGGCCTCCTGCCACGGAGGGCTGCCATCCTCTACATGGGCCGATCCCCACGCCAGACTACCTGGACATTGTGGACAAGGATGCGCAGCGAGGCCCCCCAGCTTCCAAAGAGGAGGCGATCGGCCGCATGGATGCCTTATACGGCCAGTTCATTTCGCACGTCGAGAGCGAGCTCATCGGCATCTACCAGGTGGACGATCCAGATTCTTATCGGGGTCGCGCAGATGGGGCCCAATACACCTGGCGCCCGATCGGAGGTCCCAAGACTGGTCCACACCCAGCTGGAGGCAGTGAGCCACGATTTCTCCGCGCGGTGGGTCAGGCGGTTCTGGACCTGGTCGTCGACTTCCTCGTTGACTTCGGCGCCACCTCGCTGCAGCAGCTGGCGGATGCCCACTCCTGCCCTACCACTACGGGGCAAACCCCTGCAGAGGACCGTCTACATCATGACCCTCAGCCGTCACCTTCGTCCCCGACGACGGCCGAGGCGCGCTCGGTCCCACAGGTGGATCTGGGCGTTTGGAAGCGCCTGGTCGTCCCTGGCGCTATGGGAAGACCGCCCCCCCCCTGACGACGAGGATCAGGACGACTCCGAGGAGGAGTTCAGGGAGGCAGTTGCAGCTGGTGCTACCCGATGGGTGCCTGACCTGTCGGACGCTGAATCGGGAGGACGCTCATGGGGAGGATGGTGCGTCCCCTTCGCGATGGAGTGTTTGCGCCTACCTCAACATACTGCGTGGGTAGCAGCCGCCCTCACGGATGGCAATTTCAACTCTCTACGCGAGCTCGCCGATGACATCTGCAGCGACGCTCGGGGCCGCTCCTCCGAGAACCGAGCTGCCATCATCTCCTACTTGGACTGGCTGGCCATACACGGCATACCACTTGGGCGGCGCGTGATCAGCCAACACTGGGGCGAGCCCGAGGAGATCAGGAGCGAGATGAGAAGGCTCCTGGGCGACAGGCCGATGCCCGACCTCCTGCTCTACTACGACGACCAGCAGAGCGCCTATGAGGGGGAGTCTCTCTCTCATAGGATTCAGGCTTTGCCTTCCTCTGATGTCGCCATGCCCTTTGCCAGGGGAGTGCGCCGGAAGGTCTCCCAGGATCCCAGGCCGTCTCAAACGTCTGGTCCTGGCCTGGCCGCGACGCCACCAAAAGGTCTGACAGGTGGCGTCGAGCTCTCGGGTTCCAGGGGCTCCCAGGAGCCGTTCGGAGGACAGAATAATCTGGCGAAGAACGCGTGCAACATATCGGCCCACACTGTCTCATCACCACGACGCCGAGCACGCTGGACCCATCTCGCCAGACTGCTTCGCCCAGGACATAGGCAGGACGTCCACACCGCCGAGGGCAAGCAGTACTTCGACGGCGCCTGGGACATCATCCACCTTGCCTGCAAGCAGCCCCCCCTGCAGTGTCTCTTGTGCCTCCAGGCCTTCGCCAACATCATCATGCAGCACGTCGACCAGCTCGACAGACAAGAAGGTTGGCATAGAGTTCGCAAGTTCAAGTCCTGGGCACGAGATGCGATGGTCACTGGCCCCGCGCAGGTTTACTCGACCACCAGAGTGCAGCCGTGGGCCCATGCGCAGATCAAGCAAGGGAAGACCACGACGTCGCACCCGCAGGCGATCGCAGACAGCCAGATGGACAGCTGGAGAAAGATTTGGGAGGGAGAGCGCCGTGATGATGCAGACCTTCCGCGACCGCTCGCTGATCATGAAGATATAGACCTCGTGGCAGCGATTCGCCATCTTCTTCCTGCGGCCCTGCCCGTGCCGACGATCGCACAGACGAGAAGGGCAGCAACAACATTCAGGTGGCGCGCTGGACTTGGAGCTGATGCACTTCCACCTCGTGCCCTCTCCCTGGTATCGGACGCAGCCTTAGCCATGCTGATCTACATATACTGGGCTGCCGAAGCTTGGATGCGCTGGCCGACGGTCATGCTCAACGTCCACATCATGCTCCTTGCCAAGCCACAAGGAGGGTTTCGCCCAATTGCTCTACTACCAGCGACGTATCGCATCTACACGAAGCTCAGACTTGCTCAAGTTCGGATTTGGATCTCACAGAACACCAGACCTTATTTCGCGTTGGGCACCCACAAATGTACACTCGATGTGGGAGCGCGCACCATGATTTACGCTGAGGCCTACGCTCGTGATAAGCAAAGGGCCACCACCACGACGCTTGTGGACATTAGCAAGTGCTTCGACCGAGTTTGTTGGCGTCGAGTGCTGCAGGCTGCTGAACACTACGGATTTCCAACACAGATCCTGCAGCTGTGTCTGGCGATGTACTACGCCCCGAGACGAATTAAGTGGACCACTTCCTTCTCCGACTCGTGCCAAGTCAGTAGGGGAGTGCCCCCAGGATGCCCGATAGCCAGGTTCCTGCTGCAGCTGGTCATGATGCTGCCTTTCGACGTATTCGAGAAATCCTTTGCCAACACCGAGGAGGTACACCACTCGCTGGACATCTACGCCGACGACATCACGATCCAGGTGGTGGCCACGTTGCAGGACATTGTCTACCAGGCGGTGCGCATCCTGCAGAGGCTCGCAGCAGTTCTCAAGGCTCTTGATCTTCCGATTGCTCAGGATAAGGCGAAAGTGCTGGCCTCAGATTTTGATATTGCACAGCAGGTTACGCAGCAGGTCCATCGGCACGGTTTCCGACCTTACAGAACTCTGGAGGTGTTGGGCATGGAGGCTAAAGGCGGACACAGACTGAGCTTCGAAACGATTCGCAAGAGGGTGCGCAAGATGAAGAAGAGACTCCCGCGTTTCAAGAGACTCAGTGGTCTGGCCAAAATTGGCCGAGCGGTGGCGCAGCCATGCATTGTCCCCGCCATGCAGCACGGCATCCAGGTCGTCGGCGCCACCAAGACGCTGATCAAGTCGATGGTCAGCATGGTTCGAGTGGGTTGGCGGCGCACTCCTCCAGGCACCTCAGTCTGGTTGGCGGCTCAGCTAGAGCCGCGTTTCTTTGAACACCCTGAGATGATGGCGATCGTG